TCTGAAATCCATTATTTAAGGTGGAGGAAGTAAACTTTTTCTTTTCTTGGGTTTTTTTTTTTTTTGTCTGTTTGAAAGGTGATCTACAGTAGTCACTATTTTGTTTGCCCTGTCATCCTTTGGAAGATTCATGACCTACTTAGTTATTACTTGTGAACTTTTTTCTTAATATTGCTTATAATGTTATATCCATGACCTTATTTTAAATATGCTGCTAAGTACAGCAAGTTGAATTTAAAGCCCAAACTTGATAAATGTCCTGGCGGTGGAGATTATTTGACTTGGTTGTCCTGTGGTACCAGTTCAGGTGTGGGAACATAGGTGCACACGGGATACATTCCGACCAGCAAGAGGCCTGTAGAAGGAAATTCTTAAATACGGTTTTCTTACTTTTTGGTCACCTCGTGTCTGAGATTATGCTATGAATCAGAGGGCCTAGAATTTGCTGTGCTGTGTTGTGCTTAACACGTAACAAAGGTAAGGCGTCGTACCTTGGTGGTCCCTGCAGAGAGTTAGGTGTGTAGTTGCTCCACGGGAGTCTTTCCAGACGGCGCTGCACGCGGCTCCTCCACACACCTGCCACCTCAGGTTGGGCAGCAGTTCTTTGCGTCTTGGAACTCCCTTCCCTCCCCTCCCTCGCCTTCTGTGCGTGCCCTGCTTCTCCACTACACCTCACGCTACACCTGTTTTCCTTGAAGTAAACTCCGTTGGTCCCAATGCTAAGTACATTTCCTACGTTATTATGTCCCTTTGTCCTCGAGACATCTCTGAGAATCAGGTGTGTTTAGTAGACCAGTTTTACGGCGAGGAAATCTCTTCAGAGAGGTGAGGCCGGAGTGAGGTTGCATCCGAGGGGCAGAGCCCAGACTCACATCCAGGCTTACTGAGCAGCCTTGCTCTTACCACTGTGCTTCCCTGAAAGAGCGAAGTGTGAGGCGGTGTGGCACTCCTCTGAGTGCTGAGTTTTGAGCTCTGCCTCAGTCTGGCTCAGAGAAGCAGAAGGCACAGTCTTTGATCTCAAGAGCTCAGACTTTTGTTGAATATGGACTTTGCTTTTTTCCTATAGAAACAACTGAACCTAACAGTTAAGGCCCGCCTAACCGTTGTTCCTGCTTTTTTATCTGTCACTTCTCAGATGGACCCCTGCTCCAACCAGGCCACTTCTTTTTTTATCTTTCCTGTGCTCATGGTTTTTGGTTTTGCCTTTCTATCTGGAAAGCCCTGTCTTTAATTCCTATACTCTCTCTAGGGTCCGGCAAGGCTCCTCTCCTATAAATACTGCCCTTTAGCAAGCCAGTTTTGTGTTGCTCTGGCTACTTCCTGTGTGATTATCTTGGTTCCCATGCTACAATGTAGACCCTTCAGTGACACGAGATTTTTTTTTTTTTGTCTCCCACTTTTAGGGAAAAGCAAACAGCACCTGTGACCTGTTGTGATTGACTTCGTTCATTCCAAGTGCTTAGTAACTCCTATGTCAGGATTGTCTTTTGATTTATTACCTCTTTGTCCACCTTACGTTAAAAGATTTCCAGTTGCTGTAGTGATGCCATAGAGTATATATTAGCACAAATAAGGACTCGACAGATGATAACCAATAGTAAACACATAGAGTCACAACATATGAGCATCTGGCTTCTGTAGACTCAAGTGTATGGCCTCAGCAGAAGAGAAAAGCAAAAAAAAACCTATCACAAGTTGGCAACCTTCACCTGTTCAAACACAAACTTAGTCCTTACTGTCTCAGAGAAAATGAGGAGGAAGGGACATTGACCAAAATGAAATAAATACATTGAATCTCGGCTTTTCAGCTTACAAAAGCCTAGGGATTTGAGGACAAAAGACAGTTACGTAAATTTCTCAGCTATTTATTTATAAGAACAGTCTTAAAACTTGATCCTACCCTTTTCCCCATTCTGTGCTTAGATTCTCTTCCTGGACATTCAGTTGCCCTCTGTTTAGCTGTTGCATTTAAAAGTAAAGCAACCAATGATGAAATCTTCAGCATTCTGAAAGATGTACCAAATCCTAACCAGGATGATGATGACGGTAAGGGACCACTTCTTCAGTGGAACTATCTATAGGCCAGGTTAAAGCATAAATATAAAGCATTACTGGCAGTTTGAGTTCCTCCTAAGTCTCAACGGATGCTTCTAAGCAGTAGCCTGTTCAGTGTGTCAGTTCAGTGTGCCAGCAACTTTCTTCCTTCTATAAAAGAGATCCTCATCTGCCTGTGACATAGCTTACATTCAGTATAAAAACTAAACACAAAGTTAAATATGCTGTTACATTCATTTTTAAACATTCCCTGTTTTAACTTTAGAGAGGTTCCTGAGTGGAAGATTTGGTGAATTGTAATTGGATTTTTCACCTATTTAAGCTATTGTAATAATGATGTGTAACACCTACTGAGTATGTACTATGTAACTCCAACCAAAACCCCTAGGGTTTTTTCTGAGCAGCAGTGGGAAAATAGGCAAGTAATTTATAAGTTCACCTGAATCAGTAAATGAACAAGGTAAAAAAAAGATGAGAGGGACTTAGAACATATTAAAAGATATCTGAAACATACAGTAACTGAAACAATGTGATATTGGCACCAAAAGAGACGAATCAGGAAAACATGAAAAGTCTACTGGGACAGACAACTGGGTAACGTTTTGGAGGAAAATTTGTTAGATCTGTACATAAGGACATGTGCATAGTAATCAAAATAAAAACATGAATGGTCCTTGGGTTATTTATTACTAGGATTTTGTTTGGATTTTTCTGAGAAATTTGTATTGTGATAGAAATTGTGTTTAGATAGCATATGTCAAAATGATGGTCCTAAATTTAGATGCTGTCAGATATCTTAAGACTTAGACTTACTAGTTAAGGGTTTGCTGAATCTTTTTATTAATATTCATTCAGAGCGATATGAACATGGAAGTCCACTTGTTATGTGTAAAAGAAATGGATCATATAGAAGAATTAGGGAAATAATCCCCAGAAAGTAAGAATTAAGATCATGCTTAGTTTTATATTTTGAGTATTTAAAATCAGCAGTGGTCTTTTATTGCCTATTTGTCCTCAGAGACATGACACGAATGTCTGGCTTAATGTTTGGATGTGAGTATGCCACCCATTTAGCATTTCAGGTGAGGGAACAAAGAATTGCTATACTCAGCATTTTTCTAGCTGTCTTACTGTGGAATATTTTTCAGATGAAGGATTCAGCTTTAACCCATTGAAAATAGAGGTCTTTGTACAGACTCTGCTACACTTGGCAGCCAAATCATTCAGCCACTCCTTCAGTGCTCTTGCAAAGTAAGTGCAACAAGAAGACACGCTCTGTTTTAAGGGTTTGGAACTTTGGTGAATACCAGGGGTATAGAAACTTGTAGCTAAAATTGTTGGACATGAAGATCTTAATAGTATTGGCATATAATTTAATAGAGCTCTGATTTGTAGTGGCTACAACCCTATTTGGCTCCTGTCAGTCTATGTGTACATTTTTTCATATGGCCCCTCAGAGAACCTAGTGAAAAACCTGGGTCCATAGGACAGTCATATATACAGTCAAGAAGCTCCCACCGTATCTAAGCATCTTCCTAAAGGAAGGGAAGTAGAAATGAGGGCTGACTACATTTTGGGGAGCCACCCAAAGGTTAGCATCTAAAGACAGAGCTTTCTAATTCATCAGACAATCCAAAAGAAGTAAGAGCATATGTAGATACTCCTCCAGCAGAGCAAACTGGGCTCCTCTCCCCACCTTGGCTTCCAAGTATCTATGATTTGCAGGACCCCCACAGGAAGTGCAGTCAGGGTACTTCACCTGTTTGTGGAGACCATTCCTCAGCCCTCACCTATTCTTAGATGCCCCGTAAATTGTAGTCCTCAGCTGACAGTGAATGGTATATTTGTAAATCTCTCAAGGTTGTGTGACAAATTTCATACAAACCACGAATTCCTAATCATACCTTTTGTATCCTTAATGGTTAACATTGGGTTGTTTTGCATTTATGTGTTGCACTGTAAATCAGTAACATTGAAAGGCTTTGAAAAACTTAAAATGCTTAATGAGTAAGTTTATCTGTGGTATTTTTTCCCCACCACGAAAAGGTTTCATGAAGTCTTCAAAACCCTAGCTGAGAGTGATGAAGGAAAGCTACATGTCCTACGAGTTATGTTTGAGGTCTGGAGGAACCATCCACAGGTAAAGACTATTTAATCAAAGTTTTAAGTGTTGCCACTCAGTTTGTCTTTTTGCTCAATCTTCATTGGTGTTCTAGTTTTCTTACAGTAAGTACCAGAGCCAGAGTGCAGAATGAATCTTAATTAAGACCTCCTGATGGTCAAATGGATCAGTTCCACAACCACTGAAAATGAATGTCACAGACCTCCTGTTTTACTTTTGTAGCAGCGGGATTGTTGTGGCTTACATACAAGTGTGATTTACCCTGATGATTCTTTTCTCATTGTAGATGATTGCTGTACTAGTAGATAAGATGATCCGTACACAAATTGTTGACTGTGCCGCAGTGGCAAATTGGATCTTCTCTTCAGAACTCTCTCGAGACTTTACTAGGTAAATGTGGATTATTTTACATAGTTTGTATTCTCTAAGAATCAGTTTATATTCAGTCTCATACATGAGCTCCAAGTTCTGATTGAAACGTTAATATGCTGATGCCACCAGATTAGATAGAATTGGGACATGCCAGAGATTCCTGGACAATGTAAATCCACACAGCCAGGCAGTCTGCAGTGTCTCTGAAGGACGCTGATAAAGGATACAAACTATTGGGAGAGAAGATCAGGCCATGTGCCAGGATCTGAGCTGGACGGTGGGATGTGGGGAAGAGTTCCAGCTCAGCTGGGGACCTGGAATGCACACCAGGAACTGAAAGAAACCAGTCACAGTAGAGGAAGTACATGGCAGTGAGGGGTTGAGGAGAGTCTGGTGGGCACCTGAGTGCCTGTGGGGAAGGGCGGTATCTCACTTCAGTCAGAAAAAAACCTAGATTTAATGCACAAGATTTATTCTAGACCCATTTCCTATACAGGAAAGAGACTTCTCATTAAGTTTTGTTCTTACTCATGAAGTTGAGTCCACAGGCTTCCTAACTGATCAGGAATAGCAGGAGTTGACACCACAGGCAACAAAGGAATCTTACAAGGGTCTAAAAATCCATCACAGCACTTACCCTGTTCATCGTATCTGTTATTGCAGAGGACACAGGTCTAAAATGAACTGAATCCGTAGAGTGGAAGGGTATGATCTAAAGTTACCATATCAGCCAGATTGGCACTCGCAAATTAAGGCAAGAGACATCCTCAGATCTGTAAACTCTTCAGAAAATTGACCACCTAAATATTTGTTAACCATTATCCTGAGTGATTTACACTGCAACTCATTTAATCCTCACCCCCCACTACGGAGGGGATTACATTATCATTCTTATGTACAAAATAGGAAAATGTTGCACAGTGCTTAAGTATCTTGTCCACAGTCACCCAGCTAAGTGCAGAGTCAGAATTCAGACACAGGCTTTCTTGAACCGATAAAGGGCTCAAAAGCACCCTCTGTTCTTGAACTCCAAGCTCAAGTATTTGTAACTCTGCAAAGCCTTCCGGACCACCCCTTCCAGAGTTGAAATACTTTGCTCTTGTACCTTGTCTGCTAACATAAGACTATGGAGTTTTATGAATCAGCTGTTTTTATTATCTTCCACTAAAACTGTCATCATCCAAGGCAAGATTTATAGAGGCTGTATCTTGGCATTAGGAAGAACTAATTTACAGACAGATGTAGTTAAGAAGCTACTTCAAAAAATAAACCTTTGGGGCACCTGGGTGGCGCAGTCGGTTAAGCGTCCGACTTCAGCCAGGTCACGATCTCGCGGTCCGTGAGTTCGAGCCCTGCGTCGGGCTCTGGGCTGATGGCTCAGAGCCTGGAGCCTGTTTCCGATTCTGTGTCTCCCTCTCTCTCTGCCCCTCGCCCGTTCATGCTCTGTCTCTCTCTGTCCCAAAAATAAATAAACGTTGAAAAAAATTTAAAAAAATAAAATAAAATAAACCTTTTATGCAATAAACATTTCAAAGCGCTTACAAGGTGATCCTAGTTGAGTAATTTACTGAGAAAGTAGCTGACCTATATTTATTTTATTCTTAAAAAGGCCCAGCAGTTGATAGCTAGTATGAACTAGTAAGTTTCTTAAATATTCCAAAGAATTGGCCGAATGTCTGCTAGTTAAGTAGTATAAGGCATGTGAAATGAGCCTTAGATTGGGCTTCTGTTTTGAGAAAATTCCAGTACCTGATGTTTAAATTTAGAAGAGAGAAAACAGATTTTTGTTCCTAATGTACATTTTTTCCTGGTGTGCCATTTCATTTCAGTGTATGTACACATACCTTCTAGCAAGTCTAGTAAAGGATGGAAATAAAAGTGATAAGGACCCACTACTGCCTCTAATGACTCAGACCCACTACTGAGTCTAATGGGTAGAGATAGGTGTTTGCACAATTTATAATACAAAAAAAATGGGGTACCTGGGTGTCTTAGCTGGTTGAGCGTCCGACTCCTGATTTTGGTTCAGGTTGTGATCTCATGGTTGTGAGATTGAGCCCTGTGTCAGGCTCTGCCAGGCTCTGAGCTGGGCATGGAGCCTGCTTGGGATTCTCCCTCTCTCCCCCTCTGCCCCTCCCCCACTAACAGGCTCACTCAATCTCTTAAAAAAAAAGTATGTGTTACTGGAGAAATAGGACTAATTCTGCCTAAAGAGTGGAATCACCTTCAAAATGAGTAGGTTATAAAAGCTGAGAGGTCTTTCTAGAAGCATGCTTTAACATACAGTAACCAAACTCTGTTACTTTTAAGATTGTTTGTTTGGGAAATCTTGCACTCCACAATTCGTAAGATGAACAAACATGTTCTGAAAATCCAGAAAGAGCTGGAAGAAGCAAAAGAAAAACTCGCAAGGCAACACAAACGGGTAAGTCTTATGTCAATTCATAGTGGTCCAAGAAAGTATACCAGAATCTCTTGAAAATCTTCAGTTCATTACCTTGATGGGAACTTATTTTTTCTGAGGCCAAATTATGCAGAACTGATATGGAAGTGGAGGGAGAGGAAGGATCTGGGGGAGGTGTTGCTCTCCGCTCTTCTGTTGGTGAGCCTGGAAGGAAGCACAAACCTTGCTTTTCTGTAGCTAGCCATCTGGATCTGCTTCATGATTGCCCTTCCCAAAAGGAAGGCAGAGAAGGAAAGAGGGCACTTGTGTTTCCCTAAGACTTTCTGGTGCAAGAGGGGAGAGGGAGAAGCTGGTCTGTGTCTCACTTCCCCAGTCCTGTGGGGAGGGATGGGGCATTCCTTCCCAGGTTCACAGGATACTTCTCATATTAATAATAAGTACAGCATTTTAGCCATTTTGGGGGAAGCAGTGAAGTGGCTGCATTGCGTGATTTTGCATAGTAGTACTAGTATTCTTTGTGACAGTATTCTCCAGTGTTGTTGTGTATTTACCAGAGTGGGTGGGAATAAATTTAATGACATCTATGAACCTGTAGCAGGTTCAAATGCTCGTCTCCATGTAGATCTGCATATATACGTGTCTGTTTGGTATGTAAACACATACTCACAAACTTAAAATACTGCAAGGTAAATGGTGTCATCCCCATTTTATACATGTCTAAATTGAGGCTCAGAGAACTTAAAATAACTTGCTCAAGGTGACATGGTTAGTGACAGAGCCTGTCAAACTCCAAGGACTTTCCCTTATGCCATACTGATCCCTAGATGTGTGGTGTCCAATAAAGTAACTGCTAGCCACATGTAACTGTTAATTAAAATTAAATACATTTAAAATTCAGTTCTTTAGTCACACCAACGCCATTTCAAGTGCTCAGTGTGGCTAGTGGCTACTGTGATGGGCAGCAGAGATTTAACATCTCCCTCATCATAGAAAGGTCTCCCAGGCAATAAACAGTACTCTAGAACCTAGCCTTAGTGTGGTATTAGGAGAAAACTAACTTGTGCCCAGTTGCCTAGAACATAAGGCAGACCCCTTAATAAATGCTGTTACAGAGAAAAGCAGAAGTCTATAAAAACGGGGTTCTGGTAGTTTCACTTTAAGGGTGGAAGAGGCTGTCATAGATGAGGCCTTACTGACAGGGAGGTATCTAGAAGGAAATGGGCTTTCTAGATCTGGTGATGCCTACCTTCTTGCTAAAAGGACCACGAGGACATTGGTGTGTAATATACCTGGAGTCACTTTCTGGCTTAACCACTTACTAGCTACGTGACACTGGGAAAGTCGTCTAGCCACGAAGTTGGGGTGGGGGTGGGGGGCGGTGCAGAGGGACACCTCAGTGAATGCTCGATTCTGGCTGAGCTGGGAGGGAGTGATTAAAGCTTAACAGAGGTATGTTGAGCCCATCATTGCCAGCAGAATCTTGAACAGTCTGCTTTGAATTATTACATGTAGTCAGAGCCGTTTTTGAATTATTGCCAGGGTGAGCAGGTTCTTGAGCTGTGTGCAGGCCTGCCCAGCTTTTCCATAGGGCCGTTAAAGGAAAGCTGCCTCTCCGTTGTCACTGCTGAAGTGTCATAGAGCCTTGTATTAGTGACTGGAAAGTACTGTCGGGTCTTTCCCTGGTCATCTACTTTGCTACTTAAATGAGCAGTAGCAGAGTTCTAAAAATATATTATCTATCCTCATTATTTGCAGGTTCTATTTTTGCAAGCTCACTTAAGATTTATTTGTAACCTCAAAGTCAATACTCCTGGTGCTTTCCCCATCATTCAGACATAGGCAGAGCAGTGAAAAATTTGAGTTGCCCAGTGGGCTTGTTCCCAGATAAAGTCAAACAAGGCAATATTCTACCTTCTTGTTTCATTTCTTATACTGTAAAAAAGCATCCTTTTCGTAATGTATTTACTGCCATGTTTGGGATTTTGTTGGTGGCTTTTACGGTTTAAAGTGGCCCTAAAGCATAAGGCTGAAATGCTGTCTAGTGTTCCTAAGTGCAAGAAGGCTGTGACATGTCTGACGGTAAAAACACATAAGTCAGTTGAGCTTCTTTTGGGCATGAACGACCATGCTCTTGGCCGTGAATTCAGTGTTCATAAATCAACAATATCATAATCCAGATAAAGGAAAAGGAAATTCACCAGTATGTACGTGAGGCTGTTCCATCAAGGACCGAAGTAACCTCTGTAAGTGCTGTGGAAAAGCAGCTCAATTTGTGGATTCATAAGACAAGGATAGATTTAAAAAACGTAGTAGACAGCATTCTTGCGGGGCTGAAAGCCAAAGAAATTTAGTCATGTTACTCAGGGTCAAGAAGATGTTAAATCTTTCTCAGGCAGTGTTTGAATATAAAGAACTACTGTATATAATTATTTGTAAAACACATATATTAAATAAGCTATCTTTAGACAGAAACACACGTAAGGTTACTTGTTGATCAGTTGACAAAAATAAACCAAAGACTCCCTAAGAACCTAACCCTGTATTTCCCTGAGCAGTGGTTCAGTACTAATTCAGGATTCACAACAAATGTATCCACATAACTATGGTAGATAACAAGAATCTACTGTACGGAGGAAAAATGTAACCAACACTTCCTCCCTGAATGGTCTGTCTTGTAAAAGGTATAACTCACTTCTGCTCTATAGCAAATACTCTTACTGCTGTTATCATGACAGGTGCCACCAAGTTTCCCTGGCCTAGGTAAGTGCCCACAGGACTTTTGGGTGTATGCAGGTGCATCTGGGTGGTGGAGTGCTTTCATTAGAGAATACAAGTCTTCAAGTGGCACTGGACCAGACACAGTAACATCCTTTCTCTTACTTAATGGGATCTAACATACTAGAATTCTAAGAGGCATTTTCCTTTTGTTCCTGTGCATCCTGTAGCGAAGTGATGATGACGACAGAAGCAGTGACAGGAAAGATGGGGCTCTAGAGGAGCAAATAGAAAGACTGCAGGAAAAAGTGGAATCTGCTCAGAGTGAACAGAAGAATCTCTTCCTCGTTATATTTCAGGTATCTTGGCTTGGGACACTGATAGGTAAAAATGCAGTACTATTATTTTTAATCATAGTACACGTTTATTTATAAAAATTTAAATCACGGGGCGCCTGGGTGGCGCAGTCGGTTAAGCGTCCGACTTCAGCCAGGTCACAATCTCGCGGTCCGTGAGTTCGAGCCCCGCGTCAGGCTCTGGGCTGATGGCTCAGAGCCTGGAGCCTGTTTCGGATTCTGTGTCTCCCTCTCTCTCTGCCCCTCCCCCGTTCATGCTCTCTCTCTCTCTGTCCCAAAAATAAATAAACGTTGAAAAAAAAAAAATTAAATCACAAAAATTTGCAAAGGAAATAACCATGTGTACCTCCACAGTCTGTTTCGTTTACAGCATTCTTACATGACCATTGCTCCGGGCTTTAAAAACATTTTTTGAGGATCCTTTTGTGAAGTACCTCACTCCTATTTATTCCCACTTGTTCGTCATTTGGATTATTTTCCTTCTTGATGAACATTATTTATGTCCTTAGAAATAGGTGTGGAGAAAAGTTACTAGCACAAATAATCTAGATTTAAAAGTGTTCACATACTGAAAAAAGGATATACTAACATTATCACTTATCTGCCTATTTCTAGAATTTATTGACTTAACAAAAGTTAGCGATACCACAAAAACCAAGTGGAATAAGCAATGCCTTTTGAGGTCTCTTGGTCAAAAATGTGATTGTTTGAGGTATAAGAATTCTCCCTCTAACACTGCTTTAACTTTTTACCCCCTCTCCAGCGTTTTATCATGATCTTGACTGAGCACTTAGTACGATGTGAAACCGATGGGACCAGCGTATTAACACCATGGTATAAGAACTGTATAGAGAGGCTCCAGCAGATCTTCTTACAGGTTTGTGGGAAACCCTGATTAGATAATGAACATCACTATTCCCAGCCACAAGGACTTTCCATGTTAAAAAATGGTCAGATTTGTAATAGTCTATAAGGCCCTTTTAATGTCTGCTCCTGTTGCTCATCAGAATATTCAGAGTGAAATTGGTTCTATATGCAGTTCAGACTCCTAACTGCCGTTCTTTAGTCCGGTAGGGATCTCCGTGTATACAAGTCAGGCACACATAGAAGAGATTATTTCATGACACTTTCTTCCCACATAGCCTCAAGCCACTGATTTTCAGTGAGACAGATGAGCTATTTAAGACCTATATTGAGGTTTGGGTTTATTTTGTGGAATAGTTAAAAAAAAATTAACAGGTCATTGGCTAATTCTGTATTCTTTTACAATCTTAAATGTTCTAACCAATAAGAGCAAAAAAACTTTTATTGCAAAATATTTGTTTCAGCAACCTTCATTCTAATCCTCCTTCCTGGGTTGTTAATCTTGCCGGGTCAGTCCCTGTCTGGGCTCCGTTTACAAAGTCCTGTCTTTGGTCCTAATTAGGAGAGACCCAGCTGAACCTAGTCTGTAGCACCAGGCACTCTTGCCAAGCCTTGAAGCATGAACTACATTTACGTAAAGGACTCAGTTCTCACCAGTTTCTAAGTTATCAAACATCCCTTTTTCTTCATTTCCCTCTACATGTTCTTAATGTTGGGGCTTTCCAGGAGCCCATTCTTCCTATCAAGCATAACCACTTTTTTCCCCAAACCCTTCCCATCATTCCACAATGTGGGCAGGCTGCTGAGGGAAACGTCCTGCGAGATTGCTTATGCGGTCTTTCTCCTGATCTAAACACCCCCTTTTTTTTTTTTTTTTTACGTCCACAGCATCACCAAATAATCCAGCAGTACATGGTGACCCTGGAGAACCTGCTCTTCACCGCCGAATTAGACCCTCATATCCTGGCTGTGTTCCAGCAGTTCTGTGCCCTACAGGCCTAAGGGTCGTTTTACTCCCCTGTCAAGATTTTTTTTTAAATATCTCAAAATAATTTGTCTTATTTTTGATGGTTTGAATGCTTGCTTTCTTGTAGCACCCTTTCACTTACTAAAGGGGGGGAGGAGGACAGTGAAGAATAGAGAATTGATTACCTTTAATTGGCCCTACAAGGCAAATACTCCCTACTGACAATGTGACGATGACCATAGGATGTATTATATCTGTGACAGATACAACTGTTCTGGTATTTTTTTCTCCTTAAGGCACAAAAGATAAGCGATTTGAGGTATGTGAACACTAGAGGTCCAGCTTACAAAGTAGTATATAGAACTGGTGGGTTTACTATCAAGTAGCATAGCTTTTCACAGCTCATGGATAATCTAACATGGCTGAAATAAAACTAAAAATGTTTTTTAAACTTTGGTATTTCATGATTTATCATCTCAATCTACTTTAAAATTGGTGATTTCCTCATTCACAATTCTTCCCTCATTCAGAATTCTCTCTTCAGATCTTAGTGTTTTAAAATGTTACACATATTAAGTGTTATTTATTTAGCACTACCCAAATCTGTCTGAATATAAGTCACCTGAGAGTCTTTAAAGTTATTTTCTAAATTAAACCACAGGGGGGCGGGGGACACAGCCGTAGTTCTTAAGGCTCCCCAGGTGATCCCGGGTGATTGCCAGTGTGTGGACAAGTTTGGGAACCATTACCTTGGAGCTGTCCGGTCATTTCCTCTGTTCTCTGAGACAGATTTGTCCAAGGTCCAATTATGAAGTACATGCTAAAGTGGAAATAGAAGTAGCTAGTTTGGATTGGCTAAAACTGTACTGTAGGCATGGACTTTGTTTCTATAGAATTTAAGTCCAAGGAGTTACTAATTCTTGAGCCAGTTTCTTACATGGTATTAAAGCTTAACTAAGATAATAAATGAGTACACATGTAAAATATGCAAAATAGGGAATTATCTGACATTGCAAATTTCTAGCATTTTAATAAGCCTTCATTAAACCTGAGGAAAAATTTATCAACAACCCCACAACTGATAAGTAGTATTTCTCTGTTTGTACAACATAGGTATCTTTCACTTATTTAGGTCATAAATTTATGCTGTATTAGTATTTTTCATATTGTTACATGGTCTCTTTGGAGTACCCTTCATTTGGTGACTACAGAATATAGTCAAGAGATGGGAACTCCTAGGATTTTTAAATAACCATACCATGCAAAACAAGAATTGTTCACAGAATTAAGGGTGCATGGCAGGTTACTAGCCGAAAGGAGTCTAAAACCCAGGCTCTTGGCTAAATATTCTTTTGGTTATACTGTTCCTCCTTCCCACAAACAGTATTCAGTTAGACATGGCTCTTGTCCTGAAGAAGCCAAAAGGATGACCCTTTAAGGCTTTGGGAACTTTGACCGTAAACTGACTTATAAATCTTTCACAATGTATTGCAGAGTTTGACTAATTATACTTGCTTGATCTGAATTCTAGAGGAATTTCTTGGATCCTCTCTTCATGTCAAGAATGCACTGATGTGACCCCGCTCACAGTCTGGCAGCTAAGTTTAAGGAAAACTACAGACCGAATTTCAAAGATGTAAGAAACTAGACAAATTGGGAACTATATACTATATACTATATACTATACATATATTAATGTGCTCATTAACAAGTGGCTGTTAGATGCCACGTGCTACAGATCTGCCATATGTAATCCTCAAACAGTCCTGACAGGATCATGCCCATCCGACAGATAGAAACAGGCCCACAGAGTAACTTACCCAAGGCCCACAGCTAAAAAATGGAATTGGAACCTAGGTCCACGTGGCTCAAGGGCTCTATATCTCCCATGCAGTAATGCTGTTGTCAGCTGCCTGGATCCCTCAGTACTCTTGTCCTCAAGCTGGAAGCTTTCTCATGGTCCCAGGAAGGTCTTGCTGCCCACTGTCCAGTGTTTACTGAATGAATAATTGGCACATTAAAAAAAAAAAAAAAAAAAACTTGACTAATACATTAAACTTTTTAATACTTATATAAAACATTTCTATATTGGATACTTGTATAGAGAACAATTAGTAATTACAGTCTTAAGCCTATTTGGGTTGGACTTGTTCAGACTTGCCTTCAAGTATAATCTGCAAGATCTGATCTAGAAAGGAAAATGAAAACATATGAACATCCTATTTCTCTGTTTGTAGCAACAGGACTAAAAAAGCCAGGTCAAAGAACAATTTGAAAACATGTGGTTTATCTTAACCTGAATGTTTTTGTAAGAAAAAAGCACAAACCCTGTAATCAGGCACATTGGATCAAATCCTCTTATTAGTATAACTACCTTGTAAGCCTTTTGATAAGACAGAGGCAGAACTAAATGGGTAAACTTGATCCATATGTCTGGGGTGATGGTGGGTTGTAGGTGATCACTTCCTTTAGAAGTGCTAAATAAACAGAGAAGTTCTCTTCCATCCCAGGATTATAGGAGAATACCCGTAAGCCACTTGGCATCATCCCTGCCCGGCCCATGGTAAATGCTCAGTAAAATGTTAGCAAGTTATGATAAACTTACTAACAGTACCTTCTTTGATCAGTAAAACAATATGGCTGTTTTTCCATTTGAATCTGGATTTGAAAAGGGCTACCTAGACAAGGACGTTAAGGCCTATGGTGGTAAACCCCAAGGATACAGGAAACATGATCAGACTCCCACAACTCACTTCCTACTGGGAATCAGGGCTTATCCAACAACAGCTCCCCAGTTCCCTTATGTGGAGAACAGGGTATAGAAGACCCGGCCAGCCTTGGGTTCAGGATCTACCACCGTCTGTTATTTCTGGGAGAAGGATCCTGTTCAGCCAGCTTCTGCCATTATTAAAAGCTCTTCCTCTTGTTCCAACATAGGGTTTGGCTTGGTTTCTTATTTCTCAATTTTGGCTTTAACCTAACTTCTGAACCTACTCCACCCCTTGGCTCCCATCCCCGTTGTAGAAAAAAGCAATCCCAGACCCAGTATTATGCCTACAACCAGACCTGCTGGACCCTAACTGAAACTTGCTTTTAAGCCACAACATACAAATTTCTTCCTGAAGCATGATTTATAGGAGTGTCCCATTCATCTGTGGCAACATCACACTTTACGAGTCACATTTTCTCATAGGTCAGCTCGTGGCCACACATGGTACAAGTCTTCCGGTACGTATCCTCCTCTAGGCTTTCTTCTGGTCCATACTCATGCTGATGAACAACTGTTTCCCTTTTCCACACGCTGCTTCTCACCGCTCGCCGTAATTCTAAGAAAATAAAAGCCAGTTTTTTAATGATGCTGTTCAGCTGAATCCCCAAATCCGCCAGGGGTGTATGTATAAACCAAATAACGGTTTACGTTACTTTTATAACAAAATTGATTCTAGAACCATGGCAGGCTTGGCCTGTGAAATTACTCCTCACTGTTGGGAGCCATGTGAAGTGGTTGATAGAGAAATGGGGTAAATGGGTTAGAGGGACAGCAAAACACAAAACTTTAGAAGATGAATGGAAACAAGATCATAAAAGAACGGGGTTTATTCAAGCAGCTAAGGAAAATGATGCCACAGCAGGTAAGGGGTGTCAGCTGGGACGACTCAGGACAAGGAGAACTTCAAAGTTCCATATGTTAGGAGCTACTTCTGTAAGAGGCAGGTCAAGTTACGTCTGATAACTAGAAAGCCAAGAACTCTGTTGCTAGGCTGGTGTCTCATCTCAGAAAAACTGCTTTTGCACCTGACCTGAAGGTCATTCAGTTCTTTATCCTATAAAATGAGAGCAATATTTTAGAAGAGGGACTGCCAATTATTGCATTCTTGTATTACCTAAATGTAAGAATCAGAGACAATTAAGAGCTGGAAAGAACCATAGTTTTTATTTTATTTCACTTTATTTTTTTGCAGGTAGGGTAAGAGAACAAAGATAGCATATGAATCCAAGTTCTTTATTCCATTGTTTAGAATGTTTCCCACTGCATCGTGTGAAAACGTCATTTAAAAAAAACCGCTGGATGCTTTGAAAGCAACTAAGCCAAATTACATTTTAAAAGTTCACACCGCATTACCTGAAGACACCAAATGCTTACTATTAACTGAAAATTAAGCTAGTAACTTCTCGGGTTTCCAAATTAATGAATAATAAGCAACACGGTTTACATTACTCCGTTCTGACCAGTGATCCATCAAGCCCAGCAATGTTGTTGACAGGGGCACTACCTAAGAAAGAGTAGGTTACACAATCTCAACCATAAAAAAATCACTGGACGCCAAGTAATCACACATTTTCTTTAATCTCTTTCAGATTTATGATAAGCAGTATCTAAATACTTGCATCTTTGTAATTTGCCCTTCACTGCGTCAGAAGGATAAGCAAACATAGGACTATGTATCAGGCACTGTTCTAAGCACTGAATCTATAAACACAGTGAATCCTCACAACCCTCTGAGATAAGTAAACTATCATCCCAGTTTCAACAGCTGAGAAAACTGAGGCCCAAAGAAGTTACATATGTTGTGCCTAAGGTCAAACCACTAGTCAATGGCAAAGGTGTCTTTGTGTTATTAACCACTAAAGCTGTGCTGCCTTTCACACCTCCAGTATGAGAAGCACTTTATCTCACACCATTATTGTCAAGCTTCCGTGTATACACCTTTAGACACTTTACAAACTATGGGGAAAATTGTGTTTATCCAAACAATCTCTTCCTATATTCTCTCCCTCTGAAGAATGCAAATTTTTCTAGATGTATCTGGAATGCCCTATCCTTTTATTATTTTACCTTAGGACATTTTCTAAATACAAAGTGAAATCATGTGCTGACCAGCACAGATGCCTCCTGGCTTCAGATAATGACAGGAAGAGGTCTCCTGTTTGAATTCTAATAACTACTTTTCAACTTTGTTCTGATAAAAGGTATCCTACCTAGCCACTTTTCCTCTACTACTCCACTGAGAAAACACACTCTAAATCTGACCCAGTCTCAGTCACTACTAAGCTAACCTCTACCTACTTTGAGCGTTACATGAACTCCAGAAGATAAATAAGAAAAATATTTGCTTAATGCTAAAAGAATACTTACAATAAAATCTAGTTTACTGACCATTATTGGTCATAACTGAACACAGGTTTTTACTGACTTTACGGCTTTTTCTTCCCATCCTTCAGCTAGTCGATCAAGAACAATGACAAGAAATGAAGGTAAATCTTTAGTATTTACTAGACATTCCTGGAAAAATGGACTAGAAAATAAGTACTAAAATACTGATACGTTTATCATTTTTTTGCCTTCTTTCACTTCTGAACAACCATTCAGTGAAGCAAGGCAGGCAGGCATCTGTGGTAGGGCAGAGGGAGCCCAAGAAAGGGAAGGAGGATCTCCCTACAGTGGAGGCAGCACACAAACAGGTGTCAGTCAGATAACCACATTAAGGATAATGGGAATCAGGTTCTCACTGTCAGAGAAGGGAGTTACAAATAAGAAAACTAGAATGAACCCTAGAATTCTGGATTAGAATTGGCTATAGTAGTGTGAACTCAGCGTGTTAATTTATAATATATATGGGCAGACATAAAAATATATTCACGTGTTTTGTGCTAGAAAGAAATCTTCAACAAATGATTAGACATGGCAAAAGGACACAGGAGCTAGCTTGAAGACTCCTACTGGCCCAAACCTGAGACAAATAAGGACAGGAATTCATGAATCCATATAATAATAAATAAATGGCAGAAGGGATGCTGTGGAATGTGGACTTCTGACTGGTTAACTGTGGAGAGAGCAGTGAAATTAGAAAACAATTTTTGCAAAGAGTATACTGAAGACTGCTTCAGGCAAGAACCATCCATGAATGGCTGCTAAATCTCCAAGGAGGTATTAAGGAGAAGCAGGGTATCTGTTTGCTTTTTTTTTTTTTTTTGCTTATCAAGGGCAGATGGACATCTGTCCCTAGATGTGCTGCTACCTATGTACTATCTCCAGCCTGAAACGCATAACCTGAATCTAACCATTGGGAAACATCAGAAAAGCCCCAAATGAAAAACATTTCTAAAAAGGCAAGGTGGGGAAGGGAACAGACTTCTTCAAAAATGTCTGAGAGGCTGTGGAAATATTCCATAATAAAGAAATTTAGAAAGACTTGGTACCTCAAGTCAATGCCTGATCCTAGACTGGATCCTCTACTATAATGAAAAACTACACAGGACATTACTGGGTAAACAAACAGAACTAGAATATGGATGACAGATTAGATCAAAATATCACTACTATACTTTGGTTTTGTAAGAGAACACTGCTATTTTTAGGAAACACACGCTGCAGTACTAGGGTAAAGGGTGATGATGTACAACCCACTCTTAAATGGTTCCAAAAAGAGTGTGTGTTGTGTGCACAGAGTACAGATGGCACATTAACAATGCATCTGTTAATGTTTGTTTATTTTTGAGAGAGACAGAGTGTGAACAGGAGACACAGAATCTGAAGCAGGCTCCAGGCTCTGAGTTGTCAACATAGAGCCCGATGCAGGGCTCGAACTCACGAACCGTGAGATCATGACCTGAGCTAAAGTCAGATGCTTAACAGACTGAGCCACCCAGGTGCCCCAACAATATTATCAATCTGGGTAAAGGATACGTGGGTGTCCTTAACTATACTTTGCAATTTTATGGAAGTCTGAACTCCATTCCAAAATGAAACTTAAAAAGTCAGGAGCTAGCTGGAAGAAGCCAAATTTGAGACCATTTGAGCTTCAAAATGCATCAGTTATGGACTGTAACACTGATTTGAAAGTAAGAATCCATGAAGCCAACTGATACTAAAAAAGGTCTTCTTCCCAAAGGAAGCCAAATAAGAATTACAGAAAGAATAACAGAAATAGAAAATCACCATTTATATCCACCCTAGTAACAACAAACGCAGGCAAGAATCATCCCCGTTGTACCAAAACCTGAGTGAGACTTAAGGAATGGGGTGTTCCCGCAGTATGGGAGAGTCCAACCCAAAGATTTCCTACGAATTACAAAGGGGAAAGGGTACCTTGACAGTGGGGAAATCTAGCAGATGCCGCCTTAACCACGCAATCAAACGGAGTATCACTCTCTTAGAGAACTGGTCTAGCGTGTCTTCCGGATGTGACACACTCGGACACATCACCTAGGAAGCATTCCTTCCTAATTATTCCTAATAAATCTAAATAGAAGAACATTCTGCAAAACAGGTGGCGGACTCTTTAAAAATGTCAATGTCATGAAAGATAAAACAGGTGAGGACCTAAAAGAGTACACACAGGCATCACCCTTGACCGCCCCTTTGTTCCAACAACTAAAATGCTGTGAAAGACACTAGAACAAATGGGGAAAGATTACATACTAGACAATAGCATTTTATGAATATTAAACTTACTGTGACACTGTTTTCAGTTACACAGAACGTCATTGTTTACAGGAGATAACACGGTGAAATATTAAAAACCACAATGTCTGCAAGAAAACTCTTAAATGGTTCAGCAGTGTGTGTGTGTTTGTGTGTGTAAACATATGTGGCAAAATGTCAACATCTGGTGAAATTAAAATGTTTTTAATTAAAGATTAATAAGTTTATGTTACTTCATTTAAGCAACTTAAAACTTTGCAAAGCAGAGGTCACCACCTACTGCTGAGTGAGAAGAGGGAGGCAGAAAGGTCAGAGCCTCCAAGAGTGGGAAAGATTCACTAGCCCTGGAGAGATCTAAGGAAACCTTGCGGGTGGGGAGGAGGAAACATGCCACACAGCCCAGAAAGCCCAGCTGAGCTGCAGAACAACACAGCGGGTTTCCGTGTTACAACCTCCTAGTCCCACCGGCCTAGAAGCTCACAGCACAGAAAGCTGTGGGCTACCTCTCTTGGACGTTTACAAGTGTCTTGCTATGGATATCTTCAGAGACTGCTTATACTGTTTACCCAAAGAAGTTTTCCCTTAAATCCTTGTTTCAATGAAAAATTTAGTTTATACCACTCTAAAACTTATTTTATTTGGCTTAATATCTTAATTTTGTACAAGAGGCAGCATGTATTCGAAGAGACCCAATGCTGCTTTTGAGGTAAACGCACAACAGAACTAGCTGAAGGAGACCAAAGTTTCTGAACACTTGATGGGACGGCAGGAAGTTCTGACACAGGGTGCTCCTTGTTAACTACAGGGGAAAAAATCACAAGGAAATGTCAAAATAACATGAAGCTTTGATCTTATCTTGTCCTCCATAAACTGAAGCAGAGTAACACAGAGTTGTGTCTTCAAACTGCTGACAGAAACCTGAAAATGGTCACACAAAAAACCACAGGTCCGGGATGTAAAATCTCCATTCACTTAGAAAGAGCCCGCAAATGGGCTTTTCTTACCCACCTCTTTTGGGGGGAAAGTGCATAGTAACAAACAATGAAGAATCACTTTCCATTTTTTAGAAGGCCAACCTCTGCCAGTACTAGGTAAGAGAAAACTTAAGGCTTTTCTTTAAAGCTACACTCCTCTCCACTTTATTTGTGGAGAGGCATGCAAGCCCAGAACGTTCCGTGTATCTGCACCAACTGAAAGTTCTCATCTGAGCAAAGCCAGCACGCAGGGCATTTTCTGAAATCCAGTTAAACTGAGCAGCAGTGACGCCATCATTTCTACTTATGCCTTCTTGGATTTGAGAGATCTATAACAATGTGAATTTGCTGACAATTCTTGTCTCTCACTTTGTCTGTATTTGTAAATACGTTATGCTATTTATACTTAAATTTCTTCTGTAGTAAGATCAATTCTTTCTCAAACTGCTAAAGTAGATCATATTCTAAAAGCAGGTAAATGTAATCTCTTACCTTTACATTAAGTAAGCTTTGTGTCAGCTTCTTTGTGGATCAAAACCAGAAGACCAAGAGGAACCAGGTTCCAATTTCTTTTCAACTAAAAGACTTTTAGACTTGCTTCTATTCCTCTCTGTTCTGAGCAAACTGCATGGTAAGGTCCTTGTTTCTAATCTCTACAGTGTCTACTCCACTCTCAGCCCTTTGTGGCCTAGTCAGGAGGACTGGAACATATTCACCAACCTCTAAAGTAAACCAACAAGAAGAAGCCATAATTAAAGAGGGTATCACGCTGACCTCTGCACATTAAACACCAGAAGACATGGAGTAATGCTTATATAGTTGAGAGAGAACTCAGGTTTTCAAATGCAAAGGAAACAGAAAAACATTCTAAAATTTATAGGGACTTGGAAACTCTACCACTTCTGTAACCACTCAGAAAAAATTTCCTCAAAAAGGCATGCTTCATCCAGACAGGAAATGAACTGAATTAAAGAAACCAGTCTTAAGAGGTCCAAGAAAAAATTCAGGGAAAATTCGAACTCTTCAAGGAGGAGGAAAATCCAGTTTTATCTGGTGATTAATGGCAGCAATTTGATACAGCCAATTATATTTAATACCTATGAAAATTGTGTAAATCTCAAAAGAATTGTTCTATTCAAACTAATAGTTGATCTACAGGATTACCTTAATTTTTATAGCAAAAAGCATAAAACAGATGCCATCATCTTTTATTGTTAGTCAAATTAGAGAAATTTAGCCACCTTTAGAAGAAGACATCTTGACCAAACTACAGGAAACAGTAATCTCAATAAAAACTACAGATAGCCCTCCTTTTTAAAGTATTTGATCACTCTGAACGTCTAAGTTTCTAACTCCTTTATCCATATATTACTGTCTGTACCAGAACACCACCAGGAAAGTTGCTTAAAGAGGCAGTAGAGAAGGAAGAGTTGAGGTGACTGATTCAGGGGAGCTGTAGTAGAAACCCCAGGCTGATGTGTAACTAGTCTGTAATTCTGCCCTCCTCTTTCAAACCCAGTAAGAGCCCTCTGTTACCGTACCCTTCAGGGCTCTCCTTGACGCAGGAAAAAGGAAGCGCTAGAGTAAAGCATGAGGTAGAGCATAACCTAATAAAAGATGAAAAGGACCGGGGCGCCTGGGTGGCGCAGTCGGTTAAGCGTCCGGCTTCAGCCAGGTCACGATCTCGCGGTCCGTGAGTTCGAGCCCCGCGTCGGGCTCTGGGCTGATGGCTCAGAGCCTGGAGCCTGTTTCCGAATCTGTGTCTCCCTCTCTCTCTGCCCCTCCCCCGTTCATGCTCTGTCTCTCTCTGTCCCAAAGATAAATAAACGTTGAAAAAAAAAAAAAAAATTTTAAAGATGAAAAGGACCAAATTTAAAAGTCTTTGCAAAGCCTCTCAGTTGATTCTTGCAGGTATTTTCAATGGCTTGGTACAGCAGTGGCTAATTTGGGGAAGATTCTTCAACGAAATGCTTTTCTATGGCACAGTTTGCAACAGGAAACTTCTAACAAAGTCATAAAAGTGTGCTTACCCTCTGATTCAGGAGCTGGTATTTTAAGTAACTATAATTTACATAAAAATATAAATAGGGATGTTAAGAGGTTGTTTTAATTAGCTTCATAAAATTCCATTTTTATAAGAAATAATTTTAAAGGGTCTATGCATTGAAAAGAACTAAAAAACCAGACATTAAAACATCACTACTGATGGTCTCTGGGAATTAGAATACAAGTTCTTTGCAGTTTCCTAACTTTTCTGTACTGCACATGAATTAATCTTATGATGAAAAGAGAGGAAAACATATCCTCACGAAGAAACAAGGCAGGCTTATATTCAAAAATTTTTTGTTCTTTTTTAAGACATCTGAACTATCTTCCAAAACCTCTTCTAAATCCTAAATACATACAAAAGTATTTATTATGGCTAAGACCCTCATTTTAAATGGATCAATTCAGTATATGCAGAGCCCTGTAAATACATAGGATACGTGCTATCTATATACACCTGACACCACACTGGGACTCGACAATTACTGTATAAGGAACATCTATGCCTACTGTGTAAGACTCTTTCTAGGGATTCTGCGATACAGCAAACAATGCTCCTAGTGCTCCGGGAGCACCCTGTGCTCACCACTATCACAGTACTTATCATGCTCCAATATGATATTAAGTTTACTGGCCTTTCTCTTCTGACCAACTCTGACTCCAGCATTTATGTCAGCACAGTACCTGGAACATAGTTGACACTAATTCCTGGATGCACTGATGGACAGATGGATGACGACAGACTTACACACATATGCGTAACTGGATGGATGGACAAACAAATACGGAGATAGATGGACAAAGGAATGGATAGACAGATGTCTGGACAGAGGAATGAATGTACCAATGCAGACTTTCAGTTAGGAAAGCCTGGTTCCAGTCCCACCTCGCTAATAATGATCTAGTTAACAAGTCACTCTACCTTTCTAGGTCTTTTACTCACATATAAACAAAAAAGGATTAGACCCACTGACGCGAGAAGGCTCTTTCTAGCTACTAAATTAGATGACTAACACCGAGGCAGAATTTTTTCATTTTAAGCAATTAGAGAAGTTTGCTGGTGGATATCCTTGATGTTTATAACCCTGTTAGTCATATTTAATTAAGACTGAACTGATACCATATCCTTGACTAGGGAGATATCCCTGATCCTCCCACTATTCCTACATAAAAACATAATTCACTTTAAGAGGAGGACTTACATGCTTTTTAGAACTGCAGTACTGTGAGGTTTGCACCGAGAGCCTCAAACACCTACTGGGGGCAAACTTTAAGTCTTTTTTTCTTTAATCTATGAAAAAACATACCAATCTACTGGTGACAGATCATTAAACAAGAAGAACTTAGCTAAAGTCTTTTTGCAAGTCACTAAAACACGGTCCTTCATGAGATAAATGTAGCCACTTACCTTTTACTTTCTTATCAAACTTTTTCTGTCTCATTTTTTCTCGGTTTTCTTGTCGAACTTCCTTTGCTTCTTCTAATGCTTCCTGACTGCCCCAAACTTCAAGAGACCGCTTCACAATCTACAACACAGAATCCATATTTAAATAAGCTGTCATTCAGAGTTGTTAAGTATTATAAAGTTTTAATGATTAAATCCGTGAGCACCAAAACATGATCTCACTCAAAGGCAATTTTGTAAGTATTTGAAATTTTTTTAAGAGATTAAATAGTGCTTAGACGGGTGCCTGGGTGGCTCAGTTGGTTAAGTGTCCCATTCTTGATTTCAGCTTAGGTCATGATGTCACTGTTCATGACATTGAGCCCCATGTTGGGCTCTGCACTGACAGTGTGGCGCCTATTTGGGATTCTCCCTCTCTCTCTGCCCCTCCCCTCCTCGAAGTGCACTCTCTCAAAATAAATAAACTTTAAAAAAATAGCACTTAGATTGCTGGTGGGAATGCAAACTGGTGCAGTCACCCTGGAAAACAGTATGGAGGTTCCTCAAAAAATTAAAAATAGAACTACCCTACAACCCAGCAATTGTACTACTAGGTATTTACCCAAGGGATACAGGTATGATGTTTCAAAGGGGCACATGCACCCCAATGTTTATAGCAGTGCTATCAATAATAGCTAAAGTAGGGAAAGAGCCCAAATATCCATCGATGGATGAATGGATAAAGAAGATGTGGTGTGTGTGTGTGTATATATATATATATATATATATATATATATATACACACATACATACAATGGAGTATTACTCGGCAATCAAAAAGAATGAAATCTTGCCATTTGCAACTACGTGGATGGAACTGGAGGGTATTATGCTAAGCGAAATTAGTCAATCAGAGAAAGACAAATATTATATGACTTCACTCATATGAGGACTTTAAGAGACAAACCAGATGAACATAAGGGAAAAGAAGCAAAAATAATATAAAAACAGGGAGGGAGACAAAACATAAGAGACTTAAATATGGAGAACAAACAGAAGGTTACTGGAGGGGTTGTGGGAGGGGGGATGGGCTAAATGGGTAAGGGGCATTAAGGAATCTACTCCTGCAATCATTGTTGCACCATATGCTAACTGGGATGTAAATTTAAAAATAAATAATTTTTTAAAAATTAGTGCTTAGAAACTCAATAATACTTCTATTTAAGCCTATAAAACCCTCAATAAATGTATGCTTAATTAGACTATAAATAGAAAAGCTGTCCTCTGACTAGAATTATTTCTCGGATACATTGTTTTCACATAAATTCACAGAAGTACAAGTAGTTGGTGCATCTGATAAGTTTTGTCACACTCACCAAAAAACTTAGCCATAGCCATCTCAGTATGAGGTCACCTCCAAAAAACCTCCTACCACAGAGAACCCATAACTACTCCTTTCCTCCTCTTCAGTTCATTACGGTTTCCATCCACTTGACTAATTTCTGATCTTTAGAGTATCAACTTGTTTTTAAACTTTGGTACCTGAATGACCTAAAAGCCTTATTCTTGTTTAAAAACTTTGCATTATAGGGGCGCCTGGGTGGCGCAGTCGGTTAAGCGTCCGACTTCAGCCAGGTCACGATCTCATGGTCCGTGAGTTCGAGCCCCGCGTCAGGCTCTGGGCTGATGGCTCAGAGCCTGGAGCCTGTTTCCAATTCTGTGTCTCCCTCTCTCTCTGCCCCTCCCCCGTTCATGCTCTGTCTCTCTCTGTCCCATAAATAAATAAAAACGTTGAAAAAAAAAATTAAAAAAAAAAAAAAAACTTTGCATTATAATATCTTTACTCTTTATAATATTTATTTACATTTAGGAGACTCACATACATACTAAGAATTATGCTTAGGCTCTCTCTCACAATAATGTTAAGGGGACCAAAATATCAATCAAGGTAGCCAAGCTCAAATTTCCTCTTAACATAATAAAGGGATATACTGGCATTTCCTAAATTCTAAAGCATCACATTTTCCACAATTTAATACCCCTGAAGATGCTGCAGCAGCAATCTGCTTTCTGGTACTTTAACAACTGAGTCAAAAGGCAATTCAGAAGAACTGGACTCTGAATGCAAAGAAGTTTAGGAATATCTTATCCGTACTTGCATTCTCCTATTTATGTATGCACAAGCATGACGTATAGCAAAAAAATAAAATAAAATAAACTATACTAAGTCTGATGGCACTATTCCAGTAAGTGTAAAATAAAAGCCTCAAGTAATGAGAAAGCATTGGGTTGGCATTTTTTAATTGTTAATGGTACATAAAATAATAGTGAATCTTCTAATCAACAGTGTCTTAGGTTTAATAAAATTCAATAAATGGTTGGTTTTACTATTTATTTATTTATTTATTTATTTATTTTAATCTTTAAGTAGGCTCCACACCAACATGAAGCAACTCACGCCCTGAGATCAAGAGTTGCATGTACTACTGACTGAGTCAGCCAGGCACCCCTACAATGCAGCTTCTTAATTTTATTTGGAGATACTAGGGTTTTCTAGTATTTTCCAATCAAACTGCTCTAAAGCAATGCCTCCCCGTATTTTTTTATATACTGGCACAAAAATATAACCTCTGTACCATTGTGGGATAGATACAGGAGGCTGCTAGTGACTCCTCATGGGTGTGGGTAACTATCTCTGCACACCTATACCACCATCACCACCACATGAGGAATTGAAAAGATCCACTGTGAGACACAGTAGAGTTACTTGGACACTTGACAGGGTTCCAGATGATTATTTCCCAAGTGGAGTTAGATCTTAGGCATTTGTGAAATTCCTGAAACTTTTTAAGAATTTCATTGGAGGGTGGGTGTGTAGGGAAATGGAGCCTAACCCTTAACTCCCAAGTTTTTTAGTTCCCTAATTGCACTAGTAACATTACTCCATAGTAATATATTTGCCCAAAGTACCACTCCAAAAAGTAAAATGTTATTAGATGTCATCACATATGACCGCAACTTGTAAGCAAAACAACAAAAGGAAAAGGATCTTTTTAACTGTAAGCAAAAACTAAACTAATTATCACTAGTTTATTGTTAAAACTTCACCTGATCGAGGGTTTAACATGAGTATAACTTATCAGAGACCTGCAATTTTAAGTAGAGTTTCATATCACCCCATTGTGAATGATGAGGATTCTTCTTCACAATGAATTTAAGAGCTGGTTCTCTTTTTTCTAAATCACAGTCTTTCAGAAGGTATTCTTGTTTGGCTTCTGTTTTAGTTATGAGCTTGTGTTTATCATCAGCATCTCTGAAAAGAAATGAAGTCCAGTACTAAGTTAGCTACTTTAAATAAACTAAGTTTTCAAATAGTCCAACAACCTAGGGGCATGCATGCCTAAACATAAAAGTTTTTCCTTGGACTCTCACAGTCAAGTTAGCAGCGTAAAAATTCTAACAGAAAAATACTTATTTGGAGAAGCTAGATTATATTAGCCATAGATCCAGGTCATTTAACACTCTAAGAATTTCTTTTCTACTTAAAGTCCCTCTTTTCCACAATGGATTTGAAATCTCTTAATATGAGTACAGTAAATATAATGGAGAACTAAGACTCAATGAGTAAGAAAATATAAATCAAAGCACAAAGTCAGGATGAGTGAGCTATAAGAAATATAAATATGCAAGGTCCAACTGTCCCAACACAGTTCAGTTTCCAGTTGGCTTTGAGCTTTTTCAAAGCCAAGGTAAAAATGGAGACATAGTCAATTACATAGTTCTTCTCATTTATTTTTTCTCCACATACATGCCAGATACATGGAAGGTACTAGGTACAGGTACTAGGAATACAGCAAAGAAGAAAACAAAGCCGTGTTTTCATGAAACTTCCATTCTGGTTAGGAGAAGACAATCAATAAGCAAACATCATGACAGATAAAAGTGCTATAAAGGAACATAAAGCATGGCAAGGGAAAAGAAATTTTCTGGTAGACTGGGTAATCAAAGAAGGCCACTGATGAGAGGGCATCTGAGGAGGGCCCTTAAAAAGTTAGAGAACATCAAGGGGTGCCTGGGTGGCTCAGTTAAAGTGTCCGACTTCGGCTCAGGTCATAATCTCATGGCTCCTGAGTTCAAGCCCCGTGTCAGCCTCTGTGCTGACAGCTCAGAGCTTGGAGCCTGCTTCAGATTCTGTGTGTGTGTCTCTCCCCCTCTCTCTCTCCCAAAAAATAAACAAACATTAAAAAAAATAAAAAGAGAACATCCTATTTGAAAAGCTGGAGAAAGAACATCCTAACCAGAGAGAACAGAAGCTCTAGGGCAGGAATGTGCTTTGCAATGAGCCGGTGTGACCAGAAGGCTTAAAGGGAGGGACGAAGGTGAGGAACGATGGGAGATCAAGTTAAAGACAGGCAGGGGCCCTGTAAGCAGCGGTGAGACCATTCTATTCCAGATGGATTAAGAACCGTTGACAAGTTCTAACTAAAACATCTACATAGAAGAGGCCAATGGTGCAAAGTGGGGGACACAGGCCAGTTAGAAGACCACCAGTGCGGTGCTCCAGGCAAGGGCTGATGGTGGCCTCAGCTGAGGTAGAAGTGGGTGAGGGGGTAAGGGGATAAACTGAGTGAGGATATGGAATGAACAACAGAGCCAAATGGATTTGGAATAAACACTGGATAAGCAGAGATACGGTAAATAAAACTGGCCTTCACTGAAATGAGGTACAGATCAGGTAGGGGAGACTCAACATTAGAAATAACTTTATGAAAGCTAAATAATTTGGAAGTTTAAGCTAGAGGAGGTGACAGGTAAACAACACTGTACTAAAATTAAAATCTTCAAAAATTTTGAAAGGAAACAGAATGGAGGGCTGTGTTCCTAATTACTTTGAAGTTTAAAAATATCTTTTTTCCAGACTACTTTCCACAACTTTCTTTAAAGTGATACATCAATTTCTCATGGAAATAAGATTATGCGTGGTAATTTTGTTCCCAAAAGCTATCCGTACTTTAAAGAGTGACAATACTGTGGACCTTAACCACTGTGTGTCAATGGGAAGAGACTTTATATTGTTTGTAATTCCAACAGGAATTTCCAGTCACAGATCCAATCACAAGACCAGAAACATCTCTATCTTCTCAGGATTCTATCTTCTCAAGATCCTACACAGCAACAAGTCAATGGGGATGACTCCTGATGGCTGCAGCAGGGACTCAGAAAGGGCAAGTCCTCCAGGCAGGTGAGCAAAAGGTCTAGGGCAGCAGGTCCAAGAAGTGGGACCAGGGAACAGATAAGAGGGCTAAGTAAGACTCCAAGGTAGGGTCTTAAGGCATGAAAGACACCAACACAGGATGCGGCTGGGGTAAACAGCAGGGACAAAACCATGTGGAATGAGAAGGATTATCCTGGGGTGACAGAAGAAGAGGACAGCAGCTAGGAAAAGAAGAAAAAGGATGAGAGAAGAATGTGAGTTTTCCTCATCTCTTCTCCCCCTGCCCATTCAGGAGAGTAAAGCAGGCATGGAAGGGGGTGCTCTGAGAGTGCCAGGGGAGTGGCTGGAGACGCTTCACTCCCTTCCTCTCACTGAAGGCCCCAGTCCTCTGACCAGTATGTCTACACACACTGGGGTAAGCACAGGGGACCCTTAGCAGCTGGGGGAAGAGAGAGGTTAGGAACCTGCTACTGAGAGATGGTAAAGACCCACCAGGCCCACAGAAAGGAGAGGACATATCTATGGCTGAATCAGGGCCATCCTTCCTGTTTATGCGACACATCATAACTTTCACAAGCACGGGCTTCCGTATTTCTTTAGCAAGATGGAAGTCACAGAAATTTTAGGAAACACCCAAAACAAAAATCATAATTACTAAGAAAATATTAAATCCAAATGGCTCTAATTATTGATTTGCCCTAAAGCTGCATGCAAACATTAAATTTTAGCAACTGAGAACACTGTCTGAAGTAAGTACCTGCAGTTGTCACAAGTTGCCAAATCAAAGTGGTTCATAAGGTAAGAATCCATAAATTCTTTACCACATTCTTCACATATCATATAATCAAATTCCATAACAGGTCCTAAAGAAAGGAAGGTTAATTCTTTAAGTGTCCTTTTTTATAACAGAACAATAGATTTCCCCCTATCTTAAATTTATCAGTATGTACTTGATAACTGATGCAAATACATTTACCTAAAAGACAAAACATGATTAGGTAATCTTATACTTACCTTAAAATTTTAAGGAAAAAACTATCAATTCATCAAGTATTTTTGAACACAAAACCTATGTGTGAGGTACTTGTATCAGTTTCATATTGCTGCTTGTAACAAATTACCACAAATTTACTGACTGAAAACAACACAAGTTTATTATGTTACAGATCTGAAGTTTGTGGGTCTGACACAGGTCTCAGTGGGCTAAAGTCAAGGTGTATGCAGGGCTGCATTCCTTTCCGGAAGTTTTAGGGGACAATCTATTACCTGCCATTTCCAGCTTCTAGAAGCTGCCTGCCTTCCTTGACCCATGACTTCCTTCCTCCATCTTCAAAGCTGGAAGTAGCAGTTTCTCACACCACTCTGGCTTCTTCCACAATCACATCTCCCTGTGACTCTCTCCTGTCTTTTACTTTTAAGTATCTCTGTGAGTATACCGGGCCCACCTGGATAATAGAGAATAATCTCCCACATCTCAAGGTCTTTAACCTTAATAATATCTGCAAATTCCTTTTTGATACAGAAGGTAACATATCATGGGTTCCAGGGTGATTAGACGGTGGACATCTGTGGGGACCCTACCTGGCCTACCACCATACTTCTGAGAGAAAGGTTAGTCCCAAAGTCGAAGGGAGGGGAGGGAGCTGCTTAGACAGGAAGACGGGCACTAACACATAACATGGGGAAAGCAGCAAAGAGCAAGTTAACACTAGAAGAGACAACACAGGATTCACTTTCAAATGGGAAACTTTTTCTCTCCCTCCATTCCACCCGGCCCCCACCACCACCATGAACAGAGCAAATGCATTGATCTCAACCACAAGACTGTAAACTTGTGGGTAAAGATTATATTTGGCTATCTACCCTCAATTCCCAGCACAGAAACTACACTAGGTAAAGCTCAGTTTTTTTAAGGACTTCAAACACCTAGCTAGGGATCTTTATCCTATACAATTGGTTCTCTTCAGGATGACTGCTACTGCCAAGCCCCAGCTCTAAGAACCGCCACAACTCTCAATAGGAAGAGTTATCATTTGTTCACAATTTGTTCAATATATTCCTACCACTGCCTTCCCTTACCTACTCCCAACACCACAAGGTCAGTTAATATTCTACCATCCCTCAACTCCACTAATCTCCAAACTCCAACAAAAATATCACTCTTCCTTGTAAAACATTAGAGGGACATAGCTATAGACAAAAGGAAAAGCTAAAATATAGTCAAAATGATATCTTCAAAAAAGTGATTACAGAATGTGTTAGAATGGAGATAAACTGCAGTCAGAAATACCAATTAGGAGGCTACTGCATAGCATTACTAATCAAAAGCCATAAAAGGTGCAGATATTTTCCTAATTTTAAAAACTCTTTATAATGAAAAGTTTTAAATTACATAATGATTTTTCAATTCCATCAATCCCTTTATTTATTTTTTTTTTTAATTTTTTTTTCAACGTTTTTATTTATTTTTGGGACAGAGAGAGACAGAGCATGAACGGGGGAGGGGCAGAGAGAGAGGGAGACACAGAATCGGAAACAGGCTCCAGGCTCCGAGCCATCAGCCCAGAGCCTGACGCGGGGCTCGAACTCACGGACCGCGAGATCATGACCTGGCTGAAGCCGGATGCTTAACCGACTGCGCCACCCAGGCGCCCCTCCATCAATCCCTTTAAATCTGCCATGTGGAAACTGGCAGTCAACTGTATGCAAGATCCTTCCCCACTGGCATTCATTTATTCATGTATTTATTATTGATATAGACTCATGGATTCCTGTATTTTCCAATGGTATATAATTTATTAGTGTCCTTAATTACTTTGGTGCTCAATTTATCTCAGATGTGGCCAGCAGGAGCCCCTTCAAGCTGGCTCTTATGTCCCTGTAACATACCTCTATTACTTTTTGAATACTTATATATTACTGGCATTACAAAATGCCCCAAACTCACCTGGTAGCCATCCTGCCCCAACCCTAGAATCAGCTATTTCTCTGAAGGGCCCTGGTTCCTGTTAGTGGGGGAACAGTATCAGAATCTAAGATCTGGACACCAGGTATGCTCATTGCTACTGGGCTATCTTCACTTCAAGTCCCTTTCTGTGGACAGAGCTAACACATGCACATGTGTGTATACACCCCACCCCCCAACACACACATATCTTTTTGAGGTGTAAGTGCTATATTGTATGAGTTTCACATGTCCAACATAATGATTCAATATTTATACATATATTGTGAAATCATCACAATAAGTCTAGTTAACATCTGTTGCCATAGTTACAAAAATTTCTCTTATGAGAACCTTTAAGATCTAGTCTCCTAGCAACTTTTAAATGTGCAGTACAGTACTATTAACTAGTTGCCATGCTATACATTACATCTTCATGACTTAGTCTGTAACTAAAAGTCTGTACCTTTAGATCCCCTTCCCCCCCACTTTCCCCTATCATCTTCTTGGTTATTCTGACGAACCTCTGTTCTAGATTATAAAAGCATTTGACAGGCTTTGCTTTATAGGCAAATGACTCAAATAATTTTGATTTTCTCAGCTATGCTGAAGGTCTTTAAAATTAACAAAGAAAACGTGATAGAAAATATTAATCATTCTCCCTGTTTTCTTCTACCCACCCAGGTCAGCCACATCAAGTTGTGCCAGCCCCCTTGTGCAAAGGCATCTGTCCAAGGGGGCAAACAGGGGCAAAATGCAGCCCATGACCACTTTTTAAGCCATGAACCTTGGCCCAAACTAAGCCCAGAGAATGAGGGCCTTTTCTAATTGGCCTCCCAAAGGAGACACTATTGAAGGAAGTAACAGAGAAGACATGATGGCCAGCTGACCCATGAGCCAGACCTGGGCAATTAGAGACTCCTCACTCCCTACCCTGTTCTTGGAATGCACATTCTGCCCATCAATCCCACAGTGGGAGCTGTTCCAAGGACAAAGCCTTGGGAGAGTAAGTGTCATTGAGGCCACCTGACCTGAATATGTGACTGAACCCAGTTAAGGCCTCTATATAAACTGTTAAGATTTGGCAGGTGGGTGCAGAGATCTGCTTGTCTTGCAGCCACCCAAGACAAGCCTTATAAGTTCCCTTGCTAATTAACGCTGCCACTTACCAATCTGGAGTGGTCTCTTTCTCTGGTCTCTCTTGCTGTCTGTGCACCAGACCAGTTTGCAAACCTACACACACTTTCCCTAACTTCCACAGATTCCTTACCAAAGTTCTTATTACAAGCAGCAGCATACCAAGCAATGCCACATGCATACCTTAGTTAAGCAGGAAGGCACTACAATAGGTTATCAATAAATATTTGTTGTGTGATCTGTTAAATAAAAGCATAGGCTTTACAGCTCACAGTTGATTCCAAAATCTACAGAAAAAAGTTACAATGAGTCTTCATATCCATAAAAGCATAGAGACTTTCAAGATCTTTCATTCAATGCCTTCCCTCCTCATACAGGGCTTTTCTAAAACATCCTGGTCAGGTGGTCTTTTAATCTCTGAACCCCTCCAACGCTTTGCTATTTAGAGGCAGCAATTTACATAGTTAGAAAGTTTTTCCATTTCACAGAGTCACCATAAGGCTCACATGCTCTACGTGCCAACATTCTGTAAGTGCAAAGTGCTAAGTATATGTAAGGCACTCCTTCATTATACTCTCTCACCATACTGTAATCGTCACCCACTGTTCCAAGTTCTGCCCTCCAAAGCAAATCACAGTGTGAGCTCTCTTCCACAACGGGGCACTTCTTGCATTTGCAGGCAGTTAGAAGTGTTCCTAAGTTAAACCTAACCAGTTTGACAACTGTTCTTCACGTGTCAATTTGAAGACTTCTGTTTTGACCCCCCTGTTTTGGACACTATACACGTGTCAACATCCCTCTTAAATATGGCACCCAGGGGCGCCTGGGTGGCGCAGTTGGTTAAGCGTCCGACTTCAGCCAGGTCACGATCTCGCGGTCCGTGAGTTCGAGCCCCGCGTCAGGCTCTGGGCTGATGGCTCGGAGCCTGGAGCCTGTTTCCGATTCTGTGTCTCCCTCTCTCTCTGCCCCTCCCCCGTTCATGCTCTGTCTCTCTCTGTCCCAAAAATAAATAAACGTGGAAAAAAAAAATTAAAAAAAAAAAAATATGGCACTCAAACTGAACAAATATTTTAATCCTTCAAGTCTCAGCTTCTGAAACGAGTTTAGGCACACATAGAATAGGACAAGACTATTACCCATCTTGGTGAATACATAACATTTCTGTTGCCACAGCTAAAACTAGAATGCATTTTTTTTAAGTCTATTTATTTATTTTGGTAGAGAGAAAGAGAGAACCAGCGGGGGAGGGGCAGAGAGAGGGAGAGGGAGGATCCAAAGCAGGTTCTGCCCTGACAGCAGAGAGCCTGATGCAAGGCTCAAACTCACGAATCATAAAATCATGACCTCAGCCAAAGTTGGACACTTAACCAACTGAGCCACCCAGGTGCCCCTAGAATGGGTTTTTTAAGCCTCACCAAGATAAATATATACAGATACATATCCCATTTTTTTCCTTCAAACAAACAAAAGAAAGAATGTCCTAAATTGTATCTCTTGGGTTCTAGCCCCTTATTTCAGCCTATCTAGATAACTGAGTATTCGACCAGTGAATATATTGGCTATCCTGGCCTACCATAAAACGTAAGTATACAAACCCCAAGTTAAATTAATCATTGCTAAATCTGTTTAATTTTTAATCTACCAGCAAAACTGCCAAACTTTGTCACTCTTATAAAGCTAACCTGCTCACTGATTATAAGAAGGTATTATTTAACATCAGTTTGCAAAGAATTATGCATGTAACTCAAAATGACCAATCTAGATACCAACTTTCTGGAAATACACTTTACCTGGTTGATGGACAACTTTTCCAATTGTACATTGTTCCTCTTCTTCCTCTTCTAGAATGAAGCCTCCTCCTGTGTCGGTGATCTTTGGGGCTGCTTTTACATTAGCCACGCCTATAAAAAGTAAGTAAAAGTGGTCAATGATTTAACTAGGTAAGCCCTTAAGTTCCCTTGTGCATAAACAGGAACTTTCTTTAAATTTAATAGATATCAAACAAGACAAGGATGTCCACTATTAACACTTCTACTCAACTTTATACTGAAGGGCCCAGCTAGCAGAAGATGATAAGAAAATAAAACAGGCATAAAGGTTGGAAAGGAGTAAAACAGTCTGTATATTCTACATACATAATCACATCATCTGTGGATAAAGACTGATCTATGACATATGCCATGAAAAAGACGGAGAAGAACTTGCTTAGAATGTGGTGCTAAAGGTCTGAGGAAACAGCAAGGTGGGGCAGCGGAGAAATTGGGCTTTGTCTTGGCATGACTGAGCACCTGCTCAAGTGATGGTCCTGACTACTCCAGCTGGAGTAGTCTTTTTCATGGCCTATATCACAGCTCAGTCGGAAAATGAAAATTGTACAGTACACTGAAATAAAAGTACTGCAAAGATAAAAAATCTCAGCACCAAACCTAACTCTTGAAGCACAACGGGTTGTATACCACGTTGCAGCACAGTTCAGTTCTTGGGCCAGTGCCTGGGAAACCTTACAGAATATTCATTCTACCTTGCTTTCCATGACCAAAAGTTTTATACCAGCTTATTGTTCTATTACACACCCGGGTTCCACAGCCATTTAGTACAGATCTACAAACCTTTACAAAATCACAAATATTAACGCAAATGCACAACTTTTTGTCCCGACTCCAGAACGTCTCAAGTTGAGAAACTAATAAAAAAAAGTACTAGAAAACAGAAAGGATGAGACCAGAACCATTAAAAGTGGCTGGAATTTGCAGATTCAGGGTCAGTATAAATATAAAGACATGCTGCCAGCCCCAGACTCTTGGCGTTCTTCCTTACTTCTGGCTGATGAAAAGGGCTCTACATGTGCTCACCTACTCATACAGTATGGGACGTGGCTTTAGGAACATGTGTATTTCGTGTTACAGAGGTGGTCCTAAAGAAGTGCATGTCAACCAAACTATATTTTCAATCCCTAGGGATGATTATTACTTGGCTCCAGTGGAAAATAACACCACAGCAACGTACATACATAGATTACAGACACGCAGTTAAGGGCTGCCCTAAGAAAGGGGGGAAGATAACATTTAGACATAACAACAGCCTTTCTTCTTAAAGTTGAGAGATGGCTGCATAGAAGAGGCAGTCGGTGGCAAGGAAAGGCCCTGAACCCGGTATCATATAACCTCAATTCTAGTCCCGATTAACCTGTTGGACTTGATCCTATGAACCCCAGCAGATCCCTTTCCTTTCCTGGTCCTCAGTTACCACCTCAGTAAAATACCAGTACCAAACCCTGCCCTAATTATTTTCCAAGTTAACAGAATCAAATTAGCTAACTTGAAAGGCGTGAAGCACAACAAGCGCTACTCTTGACAGCCCCACGAAGGCAGGAGCTCACCACCTCTTTTGGTGCCCCAGCACGTAGCAAGCACGGTGCCGGGTCCAGAATATGCACTCAATCGCCCTTTGTTGAGTTGATGAATTCAGGAACGGTGCAGAATTATTCCTGCAATGGGTTACAAGTCTAAAAGCTTTATACGAGGACTACCGCTGGGACTGCTAGAGGCACATCAGGAAGAGAGCAGAAAGGGAAAGCTGAGGCGCCCACCGACACTGGCTGGTACCTCCCGACGGCGAGAGCGGCCGCATCCCCAAGCTAAAGACGGCAGCTGGGCCGCCCAGGTGCAGTGAGGAAAGCCCGGGGTCCAGCGCGGACCCGCCGGCGGTCTCGCACAGCCCGCTTTGACACGGCCCGCCGAGCGGACTCCCGGGACTGCGGGAGGACAGGAGCACAGGCAAGGGGGCAGCCGACGCCACGCCCAGGACTTGGTACCCGGCCCGCCAGAGGGAAGGGGCAGCGCCGCCAGGGCCCAAACCTCCGGTAGCCGCAGCCGCCGTCGCCGGGTAGGGCCGGGCCGCCAGCCGGGCCTGGCGCAGCATCAGCGCCCGCTGCCGCTTCCGCTCTATGCTCGCCCGCACCGACGCAGGGAGCTCCGCCGGCTGTTCGGAAGCCGCCGGCTCCGGCGAAGGTCCCCCAACCGCCGCCATCTCCACGTTCCCCAAAGGGCCGAGGATCTAGCCCCGCGCAAGCGCATCAGCGCGCGGAAGCCTGCCCACAGCCCCGCCGCGACGCCAGCACCGCCTCCGCGTAGACTTCGCCATACAACCTCCGAGGAGAGCGCCTGCGCACTTTGAGGAGGAGGGGACGGCAGGCAGGGGCGGTGGGCGGGGTCTGCGCCTGCGCTGGGGAAACCGCTTGCTGGTCACCTGGGAGGACTCAGGCCGAGGTCAATTTTCAGTACCCGGTAGTCTTTTTTTTTTTTTTTTTAATTTTTTTTTATTTTAACTTGTTTTATTTTTTATTTTTTTAAATTTACATCCAAATTAGTTAGCATATAGTGCAACAATGATTTCAGGAGTAGATTCCTTAGTGCCCCTTACCCATTTAGCCCATCCCCCCTTCCACAACCCTTCTTGTAGCCCTCAGTTTGTTCTCCATATTTGTGAGTCTCTTCTGTTTTGTCCCCTCCCTGTTTTTATATTATTTTTGTTCCCTTCCCTTATGTTCATTTGGTTTGTCTCTTAAAGTCCTCATATGAGTGAAGTCATACAATTTTTGTCTTTCTCTGACTAATTTCACTTAGCATAATACCCTCCAGTTCCATCCATGTAATTGCAAATGGCAAGATTTCATTCTTTTTGATTGTCGAGTAATGCTCCATTGTATAGATATACCACATCTTCTTTATCCATTCATCCATCGATGGACATTTGGGCTGTTTCCATACTTTGGCTATTGTTGATAGTGCTGCTATAAACATTGGGGTGCATGTGTCCCTTCAAAACAGCACACCTGTATCCCTTGGATAAATGCCTAGTAGTACAATTGCTGGGTGTAGGGTAGTTCTATTTTTAGTTTTTTGAGGAACCTCCATACTGTTTTCCAGAGTGGCTGCACCAGCTTGCATTCCCATCAGTACCCGGTCATCTTTAAAATAATAGTTTCAGGGCGCCTGGGTGGCGCAGTCGGTTAAGCGTCCGGCTTCAGCCAGGTCACGATCTCGCGGTCCGTGAGTTCGAGCCCCGCGTCGGGCTCTGGGCTGATGGCTCAGAGCCTGGAGCCTGTTTCCGATTCTGTGTCTCCCCCTCTCTCTGCCCCTCCCCCGTTCATGCTCTGTCTCTCTCTGTCCCAAAAATAAATAAACGTTGAAAAAAAAAATTTTAAATAATAGTTTCGCTTGGTGGTTCTGAATAGGGGCTTTGGAGTCAGATCTGGGTTAAGTTCTAGCTCTGACACTTACCACTGTGTGACCTTGGTGAACAAGTTATTTAACCTCAGTTCAGTTTCTTCAGTAGTCAAACAAGGATAATTATGGAACACTCGCTGGGTTGTTGGAAAGATCAGATGTAAGGATTTTCGGCACAATGCCTGGCATATGGAAAGCGTCCAAAAATAAGGGCAGCTAGTAGTAATAGTAGTGCCAGTCAAGAAAGACCAATAGATGATTCATCTGACTGCACTTTGAAAGCATGGCCTAGGGGACAGAGTCTTAGATTTGATATGAGAAACCCCTGGGTTCAAACTCTCACCTGCTGTTTGACGTCAGGCAAATAAATGCAGCACCTGGTGCCAAAGCTGGTATGCATAAACTTGGCTATCTTTTCCATGGAATATTACTTCAGTGAGGGTGAGGTTCCACCAGGTAACATCCAAACAAACAATGGGTTTGGATTTGGCCCAAATCCTGACTTTCCAAAAGTGAGTGGTAAATGGAGCATTTTGCAAGCAACATTGCATGCATTTCCAAAAATGTATGCTTTTTTATTACAAATGAAATTTAATTGAAACCAGAAAACATTATGTTCTAATTACTGCATATACCATTTAGGACTAGTTTTCAGAACAACCTGGCATACTGAGGTTTCACACTAGAATTCAATGGTTAAAATTCAATAGTTAAAATTTGAGCAGCACAACCTAGTGGTTCTAATCTATTGAACATATATATATTCAATATAGATATTCTTATTTATTGAATATATATATATATATACACACACACACATATATATAAGCTGGAGAACATCATAAAAACCAGATAAATGCTCAGATCTTCTGGTTGAACTGGAGATCAAGACCTCAAGGAATCCCTGTTCCCTTTCCCCTCAGATCCCTTTCTCTCCCTATACATTGACCTTGTCCAGGTGACAAAATCTTAAATTCCATATAACATCAAAAGCATAAACAACAAAAAAAAATTAGATAAATTGGCCTTCATCAAAATGTAAAACTTTTGTACATCAAAGAACACCATCAAGAAAATGAAAAGATAACTCACAGTAGAAAATATTTGCAAACCATATATCTGAAAAGGTCTAGTATCCAGAATATATAAAGAACTTTTATAACTCTATAACAAAAAGGCAAAGAACCCAGTTTTTAAATAAGCAAAGGACTTAAAGAGACATTTTCCTAAAGACAATATACAAATGGCCAACAAGCACATGAAAATATACTCATCACTAATCATTAGGGAAATGCAAATCAAAAGCACAGTGAGAGGCACCTGAGTGGCTCAGTTAAGCGTCTGACTTCAGCTCAGGTCATGATCTCACGGTTCCTGGGTTCGAGCCCCTCATCGGGCTCAGTGCTGACAGCTCAGAGCCTGCAGCCTGCTTCAGATTCTGTCTCCCTCGCTCTCTGCCCCTCCCCCACTCACACTCTGTCTGTCTCTCTCTCTCTTTCTCTCTCTCAAAAATAAATAAACATTAAAAAAAAAAGCACAATGAGATACCACTTCACCACCTCTGGGATGACTAGAATTAAGAAAAAAGACAGAAAGTAACAAGTATTGACAAGAATGTGGAGAAATTGGAGCACTTATACATTATTGGTGGGAATGTAAAATGCTGTTATGGAGAATAGATTGACTAGTCAAAAAGTTAAACATAGAATTACCATATGAGGGGCTCCTGGGTGGCTCAGTCGGTTAAACATCCAAGCTCTTGATTTCAGCTCAGGTCATGATCTCATAGCTCATGAGATCGAGCCCCATGTTGGGTTCTGCGCTGACAGCAGGGAGCCCACTTGGGATTTTCTTTCCTTCTCTCTCTGCCCCTCCTTCACTTGTGTTCATGTTCTCTCTCTCACTCTCTCTCAAAATAAATAAGTAAACTTAAAAAAAAAATTTTTTTAAAGAATTACCATATGAGTCAGCAATTCCACTTATCCTGCTTTATGTAATGTTCCCCAGCTTAAACATATATAATCAATTAGAACCACTAGCTTGTGCTGCTCAAATTTTAAACACTGAATACTAGTGTGAAACCTCCGTGTGCCAGATTGTTCTAACAAGACTCTATACCCCAGCAATCCCAAAAGAATTGAGACACAGGTGTTCAAACAAAAACTTGCACCTAGTGTTCATAGCAGGACTCTTCAGAGTAATCAAAAGGTTAAACGTACTCAAATATCCACCAAATGATGAAAGCATAAACAAAATGTGATGTGCCAATACAAAGGAATATTATTCAGCCAGAGAAGAGAGTAGTGATACATGCTACAACATGGATGTACCTTGAAAACATTATGCATTCCTTTTATATGAAACATTCAGAATGAGCAAACTCATAGTGACAGAAAGCAGATTAGTGGCTGCCAGGGGCTGAGCGGAGAGGGGACAGGAGAGTGACGGCTTAATAAGTATGAGGTTTCCTTTTGGGATAATGAAATGTTCCAGGAACTAGCTAGTGGTGACAGTTGCACAATGTTGTGAATGTACTCCATGTTACTAATGGACTGGAGTGTCAAGTCCCCTCTTAAAGGGGGCAGCTACGACTCTAGCTCCTGCGGGTAGTTGCCAAGACAGAATTTGGGCCCACAGTTGCCAGATTGTCCAATGCTTCAAGGAAAATAACTGCTTCTCGAATTTTTATGTACATATAAGTCACTTGGTGATCTTGCTAAGATGCAGATTCTGATTCAGTAGGTCTATGTGGGACCTGAGAATGTGTAGGGGCTGCAGCTCCACAAGCCACACTTTGAAGAGTGAGGGTCCAGCTCAGAAGTCCTCAAATCTGGGTGCACACTGGAAGCACCTGGGGAGTTTAATTAACAGTGATGCTTAGGCTCCACCCCCAGAAATTCTGACGTCATGGGTCAGGGCCCTATAACTCTAATAGGTGGCAAACTTCGAATGCCAACACCCTAGATGACCCTCTGGACTTTACACAGCTCCAAGAGCCTCTCGGGCTAGGCAGTATTTCTGGAGAACAAGGTAACTGTTCTCTCCCAAGGTAACATTTTGAGAATAACTAGCCCCTAAAACCTCCTCCCCAACAAAGCATTCCAAACTTGAAGGATGTGGACCATAGTTCAGATGCTGTACGGGTATTTTGTAACTCTTGACAACCTATTGGATTTCCTTTTACCAGCAACTCCCTCTTCTTTGGCGTCCTGACCTTTGTTAGCAAGTTTCATGTAATTGGGTCTGAATTGTTAGCTGATGCCTCAACCAGGCTAAAATGAGACCCCTCCTTTAGAGAAAGAAAGAGTGCGTGCCCCGATCTGTATATCACACATGGTCACAGGGGCTGTAGGGCTTGCCCAGAGCACAGCAGCATGAGTCATCTTGGTGGAGAGCACAAAAGGAAAACAGGCAAGTAGAATAGACCAGTGGATGTGTTCTTGCCTCTTCCCACACACAGTCTCTGGGAAAACGTGTGAGTACATCTATCTTCCTGCTTTGTACCTCTCTTCTCCCAGACCAACCGTGATCCTGGCTGAAAGAGGGGTAATTAACAAAGCACAGAAAGAATTGAAAGCCCTAACCAGAGCCTGAAAGAGAGCAGACAGGCAAGAACAGAAGCCAGGAAGGGGAATAAGAAACTTGGCAGTGTTTCCTGACAGGGCCTCCTCTCTAAGAGCATTACTGGAGTTATTCATGTCTGAGATGACAGGATGTGAACATATTTGTCTTTATTATCGAGTAAATAGTACATGTGTGTGGCTTTCTTTTTCATTTTTCCCCGATTCCCCGGGGCTTCACCCCTTAACATGGTCACTTTGAACATCATTGGCATAAGTTCGCTATAGAAGAACATTTGTGGCAAAGGAGCACGCCAAGGCGGGGA